AAGGTGGCTTTATACTTTCAATAGTGTTTGGATCAAATACTTTTTCACTTTGATACTTCAACTTTTACCAAAGTGTTTTTAAACTGTAGTATCTATACTTCTACTTAAGTAATGTGTGTACTTTTGACACCACTGAGTACATCAGAAAGGGTATCATTAAAACATCGCTCCTTGGCGGTTGCCAGCTTGCTGTTGGGCTTGCAAAAAAAGCAGCAAGTCCCAGAGAATGCGGTATCGTAAAGACCCAACTCGAGTCCTGTGATTGGTTGACAGCAATCTGGCTTGGCCAGGCTAAAGCTGTGGAGGCATTCAGATGTTGCTTCTGTGGTTGGTGGCGGTAATGCACCACATAGTTGTTTTGCCAACCACCTTTACAGTTAAGAAGAAGATGGTACCACTGAGCTGATTGATTTGTGAGCACACATACTGATTAATCTGAATACTAGTGATTGCAGTTCTATTCTTAGCTTCCACATTCTAAGTACAAATTTGCATTATAAATAGATAGATTTATCAAAATCAGTCGAGGTAGGAGGACAAACCTGAGCTATTTCGTTCAAAAAGGATTAACAATATTATAGGAGGGGGATGGCTATAAGGTTGGCCACCCTTGTTGTTTCCATATGGGTGTAATTCACCACTTCTTGAAAAAGCAGTTATCCATTAAACCAGAAGGTGGCAGCAGTGACACCATCATGTTGAATGCCCTACTTTGACATTTAAAAATTAGTATGTTAAAGCTATACTGTCATTTTTAGAAAAATCTTATGGTCAGACTGCAGACTGAGGACACGCCTTTGATATTTCTTTAAAAATGAAGTTCAAATGTTGGGCAGGCTCAGATAGGATATTGTTACTTATTTATATGCACTAGCCTGTCTAGTGCTACTCTAGTGCACAGGCTATTTTGTCTGTGCACCAGAGTGTGGCAAAAAAAAAAAATTGACAAAAATGTCTAATCTACAGAAGTGAAGGTTTTGTCACATTATTTATATTATATAGAAAGGAACAATTGATTCTCAATAATGTAACAGTATTGTAACCTTAGTTGAAGCTGTGCTGTGTGTGAAGCAGAACCGTAATGAACATACGGACAGCACAGGCACATTTTTCTCTCCAAAAGGAAGAAGGCATTCTATTTGATGTACAGTAACAGCAACAATTCACCAATGGGGTAACAGAGATTTAGATGCTTAGAAATATTTTTTTTCTTGTGGTTACTGTTGTCTGCTAGTCTGACAAAGCAGCAGAGAAGCCCTGTCATCTTTTCTAAAGAAAAAACAGCCTTGTGTAGGTGTTTGATTGTCAGTTCCTCAACAAACCAAAACTTCAGTGGTAAATAACAATTATGGTGACTTCCAAAGGTTCTATAGAATATCATACTTTTTGTCTTTATAAGCCCTAAATTATTATAATAGACTGCCAAGGAATATTTGGGTCAATGTAGTGTAATACCTAGTGGCAACAGATCTGACAAAACGCAGAGTACTTCTTCCTGCTGGGGTCTTCTATACCCAAATCCACAAGAACCATACACAAACACATGTAGTGGACCATGTGATCACTCCCAATGACTTTCATGGCAATGGCAATGGCAATTATCTGTTGAAAATACCTGGATGCATTTGCATTTAATGCATTTGTCGGCCGCATAACGAGAAGTCCTGCAATCCGGACAGACCTCGGCGTCACGCTATAATGTAATCAGTCTTCGAATCTGGCCTTTTGAGGACGCAGGACGCCTTTATGTTGCAGAGTTGGATATACCAGTGGTTGGAACTGATCTCTGAACAGGATATTTCCTTTCTAGACCTGGATTACCCACCCCTAAGATGCGTCTCTTTTTTAACGCATTACTCATTAGCTTATTAGCAGAGCTTTATAGAGGTTGTGTGCATTCTAGTTTAGCCTTTTAGTTCCAATCATATAGATATTTTCTTAAAGGTTTTTTAGTTATTACTATTTATATGTAATCTAAATGCCAAAAAATAAACTCTTCGCTGATGCTTACATTTTAAGTTTTCAATTAGAAAATATGGGAAATTTTATGAAAATTTTACGAGCTGTCTGACTCGTAAAATGAAGCAGTCACGTTCCAGTATACATTATTTTTTAAGACATGTGGACTAGAAACCTAAAATAAATACCTTTAAATAATTAGAAACTACAATAACAGGCTCATCTCTAACATCTGTTATTTAAACATGCACAAAAGCGCATACAAAAAAAAAGCAAACCTGAATTTTTTTTTCAGGTAGACGGCAGAAAAGACTAGTCTACTTTTATTTCTGTATCTCTGTCATAAAAGCTACTCGCACTCGTTCCACTTATCTGGGACTGGGTCACAAGGGCAGCGATTTCAGCAGAGGTACCCAGACTTCCCATTCCCAGACACCTTCTCCAGCTCCTCCCGGGAAAGTCAGGACATTCCTGAGCCGGCCGAGAGACAAAATCCTTCCAGTGTGTCCTGAGCTGATAGAACATGCTAGGGTGGACTCCTGGGTAGAATCCGAGCTGACTTAGCTGACTCCTCTTGATGTTAAGGAGAAGCAACTCTACACTAAGCTAGAGATGCACAGATCAGATACTTGGAATCGAGTATTGAATACGATATATTGCTTTCACCAGGGAAAGGCTGGACAGCCCAGTTTCTTCCATTGTCAGACGATGTTCTCAGTCAAGGTCAACAGCGTTCCGCTATAAAAGAAACACTTCTTTACCCTCCGAAGGCCCCGGACAGTTTGCCCAATTTGCTTTTAGGCCACACCAATAGTCTTTCTTTATGCTCTCTCAGAACTCCTCATAACAATTAAAATGGTGTCTTAAGAAGATTTTACGTAAGTCACCTGTGTCCTTCTTATAGCAAGGACTTGACAAGAGTTTCTGGTTTAACTATGTACTATACCATTTCTCTGTTTTCTTTTATGTAATATTGATTGATTGACTTTATTAATCTCATAGAGGAGAAATTTACTCCTTACATCAGCTCAAATAGTCAAAGAAGAAGATTGTGCAAAAGGAAGAAAAAAGTTGCATGGGATACATACAGTGCATCCACTTATGACAGCTTTTTTTTTAATAGTAGTATCATTATACAGGGTTGTTGCTCAGGATGTTTACATGGGTAATATAAACAGCTAAGAGTTCTTAAAAGAAAATGTCCAAAAACTTTCTAACCTTTTTTCTTTGTGTTCAAATTCATTTGAATCACATCAGAGCAATTATAATACAGTATTTAACCCACAGGGGTTTGAAGCTAGAGATTGCTTAAGTTGTGAAAACCATGTAGAAAATGTCTGGAAGCCCCAACAGGAATCTGTCCCCAAACAAAGTGAAATCACTCAGTCACTCCAGTGGAGCCGAAACTCTTATTGAACTATGGTGTGAAATTAAGCAGTGGGGATATGTTAAGTCCCACAAATGTTTACATGTCCCCCTTTCTCTTTGTAGTGGGTCGTATTGCCTTTGGTGGTTTAGAAACAAATTAAGAATGACTCACAACCGAAAGGTACACTAAGATTATAAGTATGGAGGCCCCTGGGGTTACACTTTAAAGCTTTATGCTTTACTGTGTTTACTTTTGCCCCTTTGATTTATTTTATTTTTTATTTTTTTGCTGACCAGTTGCATAAATTGAAAGCCTTTCACTTTAATTCCTGATTTCTTGAATCAGTTGAAGTTGTGTGTATCAAAACATAACAATTACCTTCATCCTCTTAATGAATTTCCATCCATCCATTTTCTCCCACTTAGTCCTTGTCAGAGTTGCGGTGGGGCCAGTGCCTATCCCCAGCAGTCTATAGATGAGAGGCAGGGTACACCCTGAACAGGTCGCCACAGGGCAACACAGATGCACAGAGACACACAACCATGCACACCCATAAGAGTAACCAATTAACATAAGAGTCATGTTTTTGACTGTATGAGGAAGCCTGAGTACCCGCAGAGAACACATGCATGCTCAGGGAGAACATGCAGACTCCATGCAGAAAGACAACGGGCCGGGAATCAAACCAAGAACCTTCTGGCTGCAAGCCAGCAGTGCTAACCACTGTACACAGTGCAGACCTTAATGAATTTCCTTAATTTAAAAAAGAAAATCATTCATAGATTATGCAAAATGCCAAACGATATCCTTATGTATAAGAATGAAGACATTAGGCCAAAAATACTGATATACTGTGATAGTATTCTGATACTACAGTAATCAGTTCTGGCCCTTAGTTATTTTAAAATTTGAGGTGTAATTTTAAACACTTGATTTTAAAGGTTAATTAGAAAGCTTACTGGCCAATTAATACAAATATTTTTTATTTTTGAAAGGGGACCTTAATGTAGTTTACTCGTTCACGTTATAGAACAGTAAATGGCATTTCTATGATGCATTGTTTTCTGTTGGCCTCCTAACGGATGTCAAAGTTAAGTTTATACTTGTTTGTGATGGCTTCCCTTACAATTTGTTTTACTTCTCTTTCATTTTCCAGGACCGGATTACATAAAACAACAGTTAAAAGAACCAGTAGAAATTAAAGAGGTCCCTGTTGAGAAGAAGGAAGAATCTCCACATGATTCTCCTCATTTCTACCGCAAAGGCACAACTCCGCCTCATTCTCCTGTGGCTAGTCCTGCAGCAACTCCTCCGCCCTCACCTGAGACTAGCAAAAGCTCTGGCCAGATTGGTAACAGCATCAGCCACAAACCTAGCAAAGAGGAAAAACCCTCCCGAAAGATAAGCAAAGAAGAAAAACCCTCCCGAAAGATAAGCAAAGAAGAAAAATCTAGTTTTAAGGCCATCAAGGATGAGCGACCTAGCAGGAAGCTGAGCAAAGAAGAGAGGTTGTCCTTCACTGATGGGCCCAAGTCTTCTCATGTAAACATTGAGGCTCCACCTAAACCATCTAAAGCTCAGCCAACAACCCCAGCATCTGTGCCTCCTTCCCAGCCACCAACTGTTCCAGTCAATGGCCAGCTGCACTCAGAGTACCACAGTTACTATGTCAAGGCCACTCCCCGGGGCCCTCCACCCCCTGAACCTGAGGAAGTAGAAGAAGAACCTAGTGTCCAGGATCTTGCACGTTTACCCCCACAACCTAGGTCATTTAGCACCCCCACCCCTACTCCTAAGCCCCCTTCCATTCGGGAAAGCAAGAGTGACCCAAAACTCAGGAAGCAAGATTCCCTAAAACCAAAGAGCCTTGCAGACACAAAGAAAGCAAGTATGGAGATTGCTGAAAGCACAGAAGAAACAGTAAGTATGTTGTTCTTTTATTAGGGTAGGTTTTACATCAAACAAGTAACTCGACAGAGTCTCTGAAGCCTTTTATAAAGCATTGAAGAGGTTCAACTCCCTTTAAAAATTAATTGTTTCAAATATTTCTTAACATTTTACCTGTAGTTTACTGTAGGGAAATGTACATTGTCAGTATATCCTTCTTTAGATAACTTTAAATGTTTGATTTATATCAAATACAATCAGACTGAAAGCAATATTCAGCTTTTAAATAATTATGTCTTTTATTATTGTAGATAAAGTTATCCGTATGTCAAAATATGTGTTTGTTAAATATCAGAAAACAAAATGACCTCTGGACACAAGATCCATCTCACATCTGCCAGAAACACACCCTGATGATCCCCTGAACCATTTTGTTGTATTACGTTGACTAATAAGAGAAAATTGTGAGTTTTAGAAAGATCTGTGAATGGTTTCAAATCTTTAAGGGTCAGTGTCCTTCAGGTTTTTGGCTCCTACACCTGAATCAAATGTCTAAATTATGTGTATAGAATACAGACAATCTCTACAGGGCTCTGCTACTGAGCTAAAATTGAAGTCAGATATGTTGAAGAAGAAGCTGATCTATACGAGTCATGTCCCTGACACTTGAGGACTGAGGTTTAAGACAACAGGTCTGTGTTCTTTTAGTTACAATATATTTGCCATAAAACTAATATAGCATTTCAACAGCATCCCACTGAGAGTCAAAAATAGTTGGTCTGGGGCTGATTTGCTCCTTCAGGACCTGAAGGAGGAATTCTGCACTGCAGCGGAAAATCTTTACCAAGAATGTCAAGTTATCAGTTGGTGACCTTAAGATTAGCAACACTTGAGTAATACATTAGAACAACAAAACACACAGAGAAGCCCACCTCCACATGGCTCAGAAAAAAGCCAGCTATCGCTTCTGAGTGGCTTAATCAAACTGAATTCCTGTTCTAAATCAGGTGTTTTTAACTCCAGGCCTCAAGGTCTGGTATTGTGGAACTGTTTAATGTGTCCTTGTCTAACACACCTGAATGAAAAAGTTTAACTACCTCTTCAGTATAAAATGGGCCGAGGTGCTACAGTAGTATGGTGGTTAGCACCACTGCCTCACAGCAAGAAGGTTCTGAGTTTGAGTCCCGGGGCAGCCAGGACATCTCCCTGTGTCTGTGTGGGTTTTCTCCTGGGTCTCTAGCTTTCTCCCACAGTCCCAAAATCTGCATGTTAGGTTGATCTGACATTCCAAATTGCCCTTAGGAGTGAGAGTGGTTGTGTGGCCCTGCAATGGACTGGTAGAACAATCCCAGGCAAGGCCTATTGAATGCCTTGCCTGGGATTGTAGTGTCCCCCCTCAACCCCATAAGGAAATAAGCCATTACAATAATGATGGATGGATGCTATACAGTGGGCTGATTCTGAATTGAGCACATTGTAGATCCTACCTTCTGTTCCTTGCTCTTCCAGACAGCCTTTAGCCATGCAATAAAGTCCTTTATTGCATGATGAAAATGCACGAGTGATGCTTGCCAAAATTTGGACATTGTAGTTCAGAAAAAGAACTATAAAAAAAAAGGCACATGAATGTAGCAAGCGGCTGAAGCTCTATGTTCTACAAGCCAAAGTATATGAAACTGTGTGCTTTTACATCCGTCACACAGAGTACTTTCCAAAAATTATATGTTTTTGTTAAACTCCTTAAGGTGGGCTGTGCCTATACATCTCATCACACAAAGAATAGTGGGCAGTCGCGTGAATCTTAAGTTATTGATAGGAACGTCAAAAGGTCCCAACGCTACATAAACTATCAATATGAAGCATCCAGCTTCCTATTCTTACTTCTGTCCTTACCACTAACCCTATTCAGGACTTACCATGGCAACCACTGACACACTTACTCGATTCGGATGGACTAAAGTCTTCCAGAGTTCTGTCTAATGATCTGATTATTTGACTCAGCTCTGTTAAGCAAAGACTCATGTAAAAGGACAGCAGACATCGGGGACGGGAGTTGAAGACCCCTGATCAAAATTTCATAAGATGCTGTGGACAAGATCGTAAATGAGTCTAAGACTTTTTCCTCAGTACAGTTTGTGACTCCGGAAATAATAAAAAAAGGAATTAAAGGAATTTTGTTTTCAATCCAAGCTTATAATCTTTCACATTTTGTAAAAGTTGATTGGCAAAAACCAATATCAGAACCAAAATTTATGGAAATATGGGAACATGCAAAGTCTTTACTCTGCAAAAACAATCTAGAAATAAGCAAAAATGTCTTAAATGAAGTGTATTTACTCTTAATTTGAGCAGGTAAATAAGATTGTTTGCTAGGGGAATGAGTGTTTTTACTCTTAGAATAAGATAATTAGATAACATGCACTTGAAATAAGACAATGTAATTGTTTTGTCTTATTTTAAGTGTAAATTGTCTCATTTCATTGGCAAAGTGTCTCACTTATCTCCTCACTTCAAGAAACAATGCACCTTTTTTTAAGAAAAAATGACTTATTTAGATATAAAAAAAATGTTTAAGTGTAATAAGTAAATAACCAAATTATGTTGTATTTCAGCATATGTGAAGTCAGCATTTTTAAAAATATTTATTGGAATAACTTTTCAAATATCATACCTTTCTAGCAGAAATGCACATAAATGGTAGTAATGGTTTAAGTACATGGACATACATTTTTTGCTTCGAGGTTTGAAATAAAAATTGAAGAAATACGGGTATGATTTGGCAAAGGGGCAAGTTAAATTATTTCCCAACCAACCAGCAAATCTAACCAATCTTCCCTTGTACAAGGAATGAAAAAACTGATGATGTGTGAAAGTTCTAATTTCTCCACAGGCTTGGTAAAGATTGCAGGTTGGTTAAAGTTTTAGTCCCTTCTTGTGGAAGAGTGCATAGCAAATTGACAAATGTAATGTCTGCATTATGAATACAGGGGTTTATAGTTACAACACCCCAGATTTAGACTTTGCTGCTGCTCTTTATATATGAGACAGTTTACTGAAAATAGCGCCACAGAACCCCAAATGGTGCCTTAAATGCTACAGCATCTAGATAGTCAATAGTTTATTTAGGTTTTCACTTTTAAACTGCTGCTGTTTAAATCAACCAAATGTTGCTCTCTTTAGCCTTGTTTTTTAGTTTTTTTCATTTATCAATTAACTTATATTCATATGAAGCGGTAAAAAAAATGTTTTATCCTATAGACTAACATTACTTTTTTTCTGTTTGCAGGGTCCTAACTCCATCCTTGTTGCTATGGTAATGCTGTTGAATATTGGCCTTGCAATTATATTTGTCCACTTTCTGACATGATCATGCTGTTTCTATGGTAAGTTCTTCATTTGTATGTATTGTCTTTGATATTAACGTTATTCGAAAAAAAGCGGACCTGATAATCTGCACATGGCATACGAACATCTCTCTTTTTTTAATCTGTGTATATCTGAAATGTGACAAGGAGCCAATTAAATCCTTACTGTTCTACATTGCAGTGAAACCATGGCAACTGATACAGTTGCATTGCCGGCCTTGAAAAGTGAAAATGGCGCCAGTGAGAAACGGGGGCGGCCGGAGGTGTTTAGGAATCAGCATGACACCGAAGAGAATCAGGAGATGGGCATCACTACTATCAACTTGTCTTTGGCCTTCTTTAGGACCAGCCCTGTCAATTAGCACTCCTTTGGCTTCTGTTATAGCAGAAGTGAAATGTTATGTCTAGTGAGTTTAAAAAAAAAAAGAAAAAAAGTAAAAATAAACCAAACATACAAAGTATGAAAAAAAAAAGATGTTATTGAAACCTACATGCGTGCTGACCCAAGCTCAGGTCTCTGTAGCCCACTCTCACTGCCTTGGCAGTGATAGCAGTGGGCTGACGGACCTTGCTGGACGAGTGTGGAGATGCACTTTTAGTTGACGGGAGCAAACAGCTGCCTTTCTATTTTGCCATCTGACGTTTTGATGGGGAGATGTGAGCCCTAGCCCAGGGTGGCCAAGAGAGCGAGCAAGAGAGAGAGAGAGAGAGAAACAGACAGACAGACAGACAGACAGAAGTGAGGATAGTGTGGCAGAGGGGGGGCTTGGGGCTCGGGTGTTTGAAGGGTTTTACTGGGGTTCAAGCCACTCTTGCAAGCGCAAACCACGCATGACCGTTTGCCAGCAGTCAGTGCTTGCACGGTCACTAGCCAGTCTTACTCTGTTAACCCAAACATCCCTGCAGCTTTTCTCAAGCTCCGTCCATTGTAATCCAGGATACACTGCTTTTGAAACACTCCCCCCTGCATGGTACAGTTTAAAAACTTTTTGTTTGTTGTTCTTCTGTAGCTTTTCGTTCACTGTTGTCCTCCAAATGTTGGTTACCTGCATCTTATGCTTCTAGAAATCTTGTCAGAGAATGAGTAAAACAATAACTTTTCCTGTTTTATTTTCATTTTACTCATTTCTAATAACTGAGCTGTAATTTGACATTACACATCCATGTTACTGAAAGTGCAATATCTTTATTTTTTTTTCAAAGGCTTATAATCTATTTAGCCAGAGATAGTGTTCTGCTATTTTAATAAACATCAATTTTTATTTGTCAGACGTAGGTAATTTGAATAGCCTGGTTTGTTGAAATACGGCGTTCATTAATGGCAGGAATTGTGAAGATGAACTTGATTTATTCTTGAAAAGGCAGATAGTCCTGTGAGAGTGAAGTAACAAATGTCTTATATTATTTATGAAATGATAAAAGAATATATTTTATTGTTCATGCCTACCCCCTTCTGCTTTATTGAAGTTCATAATTACACTGTTTCACACCACACTGAAGATGCAAAACTGCAGCTCCTCAAAGCTGCTTGGGTAAAAAGGCCCAGCCTTGCATGTGTATGAGACTGGATTTCGTGGACAGTTGAGGTTTATTCAGGTTTAGACCATGGGGAATGTGGATCCAGGGAGAAGAAGATATGCCTTTAGAAGTCTTTAACAGTGCTACTGTTTACCTCAAAAGATATGAGGAAGGGAGGGAAGGGAAATAGATGCCATCCTTGTCTTAACTCTGTTTTAAGGGGAGGAGGGGGTTGACTGCTGTCATCACCTCAGCCATGCTTTTGACTTGCTTCATCCTAGCTGCTTGTAGTTTTTGTTGAGGGTATGGCATGAATTTCTTTGATTCCCAAAGTGGTTATTTATATGGTGGACGTTTTAGTGTCAACTCTACCAAGATGAATTATTTATTCATTGTACAACTGATGTGTTTGTTAAAACATTGGTCATTGCAAAAAAAAAAAGGGCTTGAAATATATATATTTAAGTTTTAATGTTTGCAAATTCATTCTGAAGATCTGTTTAGAATAATTCTTGAACCAGTTTATCGTTTGGATAAACTACTAGAAAACCCACTATTTAAATTTACTCATAATATTCTGTAGTCAATACAAAGGCAAAGATTAGTCTTTTAGAAGGTTAAACAGAACAGCCTGTTTGTTGGATATTTTTTTGAAATACAACATTGCATGTTGGAGAAATTTCTATATAGATTATTATATACTGTTTGTAAGGATTTTTACAGAGCACAATCCAGAATCTGGTATGAGTCGGTATTTTTCTAACAATTTGCACACCTGTATTTTGACAATGAAGATAACTTTTGTTTGTAATTGGTAATGTAATGCACATATGATAATGTTTGAAAGAGGAAAAAAAAACATGAATATTTTATTTCTAATTTGTCATAATGTGTGTACCATTTGGGGATGTGAAAGGCAGATGTATTTGTTTTAAGGATTTTATGGAACAAAGAAAAAACAAACAAAGAAGAAACTGTGGGAGAGTTTTGATATGTCAAGATTCATAATGCCCCACTGATTTGTGCAAAGTCTTTGGAGATGAAGTTATGTGTATAAAATAAAGTTATTGAGCCTTGTTAAAAATTTGCATTTATTTGGTTATTTTCATTACCATTAGTAATATCTCTTTATTTGTAAATGATATTATTAACTATTATGCAATACACAGTTAAAACTTTACTTCTTTAGTGCGTATTTTATTTTTAAAGTTGTTTTCTTGGTACTTCAACTTCTAACCATCTTTACTCTGGATATTTTTTGTATTTTGGTCATGTGAAACCTTCAGTGGAATTTTTGGGGATTTTAAGTCTACGCAGATCAGCAAAAATAAATGAATGACTCCAAATCACATACAAACTATATATTGTTTTCAAATAGTTTTACAAGTGAAAATCAGAATCTTGTGACTCATCTAGTTCCCCCTGGGTTAAGAGTGTTTTTGCAAAATAAGTTCATCTTAATCTGAATGAACTTTCAATGTCTGGGGCCATTCATTGAACCTTAGTAGAACACACTGCCTTGGTAAATTGTGCAGTTTTGTGCTGAAAGCCCTAAAAAGAAAAGGCAACATCATATTAGGACAAAGACATGGCTGAGCAAACGTGGCTACTACGGTCTGTCAATTTTACAGGAAGAAATCCATTTCACCCATTGCATCCCCGCCATGCTTCTGTGTTTACATCTAAGAGGAACAAGAAGAATCTTTGTTTGCGCAGGCGCACTGAGAGACTTGCCCACAACCACCTTACGATGGCCGACTGAATTTCAAACATGTTACGACCTTACGATTCCCGATAGGGAGGAGGTCTGGAGAGGCTGATTGCCCCTCGTTACCCCCTGTACAGTACACAACGCATGATCATGCTGAAAGTCGACCCAAACGAAAAATTCTTGAATGACTGGAGAATCGTCCCCAAAAGGGCCAAAATCATACTGTGTGTTAAATATAGGCTCTAATTATCCTAACAGTGTATGCCCGGCTTACAGCTTCCGGTTGAGATGCGGAGATCCACAGCTCCAGCGGTTGCATGTACCCTTTGGCTTCTTCTCCAATTAATACTCCTTTCGTACGGTCTATAAGTTTTGGTTGGTCTTGGTAGGTTGTCATCTGTTCCATCAAATGAAAGACAATCCTCCTCTTCATGACATAATGCCTTACCTTATCTGTCTTCCTTTGTGTCTGTGATGCTCCTTGTTTTACCAATGCTCTCTAACAAACCCATCCAGGCCTTTACAGGAGTGCTGTCTTTCTTCATGGAGTTTGCATGTTCTTCTTGTGCATGCGTGGGTTCTCTCCGGAGTACCCGGAGAGAACCCACGCTGTTAAGTTATTAGGCTTCTCTAAATTCTTTTTAGGTGTGAGTGTGCATGAATGGTTGTTTGTCCTATTTGTCTCTGTGTTGCCCTGCAGTAGACTGGCAACCTGTCCAGGCAGTACCCCTGGACAGCTGGAGACAGGCACCAGCACCCCTCGCTACCCCAGCAGGGATAAGCGAGATGGAAAATGGATGGATCGATGAAAGTATGTTGACCAGTTAAGGGACTCTTGAAATTAATTGAAAACAGACTTTTATTAGCGGTTTTAGAGTAAAGGTATGGAAAAAAATATACACCTGATTTTTTTTTTTTTTTTTTAAATAGACAGTAACGCATGTAGCCGTATTTTTCCACCAATTTCCACTTAGAGCATAGGTGCCATAGGTGCCAGTAAAAATCTTTTGTTGGGTCATAGATGGCTGTTGAGAAGGGGAGAGTATTTGAATAAAATCATGTGTAACACTCTTAAAACATTTATTACCAGAAAGAGACTGATAAAGGACAACTGAGAAGAAATTGGTCGTTTTCAGTCAAATAGAAAAGAAGACTGATATGAATCGGGCCATTTTAGGATTCCCTCTTATGTGCTTGTACCCAGTCTTGTAATCACCTCTGTGTATCTCCAAGCAAAACATTGGCCTCATTTTAACCTTATCATAATGAGATCCAGGGGGAAAAGTCCAGGCATGGAACCAAAGCATCTCAGTAGGGGTCTTATATTAGCTGTGAAAGTGAAGGCAGGTGCTGCAGTTTGCCTTGAGTCCATTCACACTGTTTCCACTATGCATCACTCTCAGAGTAGTGTAGTGTCACCATTTCATGCATGTGTTGTTCTTCCTCAATATGGACAACAGGAAAAGAAAGTCAGGATTTTTTTTCCCTTTTACATGTGATTGTTTACACAGAAAGTTAGACTTTTAAAGGCTGTCATCTAATCCCTATATGTAAGTCAGAACTTGTCACTAATAGTATAGAATATCTCTGTTACTATTCTAATATGGCACAGCAAGCTAGACAAGATTTGGTTGCACAAGCCGTCTTGGACAAATATAAACCAGACCCTTTTAAGTCCTAGCTTCCACCGGGGCCTTTAACAAATTGCACAGACAGCTACAATTCAGACCAACGTTACTGTTATGCAGTTTTATCTTGAAGGAAAATCAATTAGATTGTTACGAGAGAAGCTGTAGGTTCCTACAAAAAAAAAGAACTTAATTAACTTATTGATTTATTTTAAGTTTTTATCCAACCAGAACTATGATTAAGTTATGTAAATGGTTTACATGGTTCATATATGTATTACAATAAATGAAATATATGTCAGAAAGCGTAATTTCTGAAATTTAAAATGTTAAAATACAGTAAAGATACATTAATTAAGTAAATATCTCAACCTTTCAATATTCATAAATTTCTAATAATGGAAACATAAAAAATCAGGATCTCAAAATTATATTAATACCAATTTTTTAAAAAGCATATGAATGTCATGTAATACCCATGTTATGGCGTACACAATTACGGATGAGATTACGGACCTGACTGACAGTTCTAACTGCCTTCCATGTTAATTTTTTTTTTTTTTTTTTTTTTTACAATTTTACATTTTAAAATCTAAAGTGTTTTTTTTTTAGTTTTCAGTTTGGTATATAGACAATTTCCTGTTTCACATATTTTATAAAACATCTGAACTGACCGTTTGTTATTTTTTTCTTTCTTTTTTAAGGCTTAATGAGAGAATTGGGCTTTAGGCTGACCTGCAAGGCTTTTAAAACTGGATTTGAATGGCAATAAAGCCATTCTCAAGCACATATCAAGGTGCTCATTTTCAGCCCAGATCAATATTTATTTTTGATTATGTTCATGGAGGGGAATCCTGCTTGACAGCAGTAAGTTGAGCCAAACATACTCAAAATGTGCAGATTCATCTTTGAGCACGCCTTTTCACTTTTCTTCCACCAGTTCACCGCAGTTCCAGACGCTTTGCAGGGCTTTACCGTACAAACAGGAGAAGCGGTGCAAGTGAGGCGCATTTTGTAAAATCCTGGTCATATCTTAAGCCAATCTTAAAAACTACATGAATAGACGAAAGAATAGTCACTGTCATCTATCAGAGTGGAAAAGGACAAAGCCAGAAGTTTTTGTCAGACCTAAGATCTCCAATAAACCACACTGGAAACAGTGGTGATCCTTCACAGGAGTGTCAGTTTTTATTCAATTCCATCAAGGACAATTTTAAGGATTCTCTTTGGGATTTTCAGAAAAATGTTATTCTGTGAAGAGAAAGTGTAGAATTTAGGGGTGCACCGATTGCAGTTTTCTGGCCGATTTCCGATCACCGATCTTTAAAAAGTCTGACCTGCCGATTCCGATTTTTGGGTAATACCGATTTAATTTTTTTGCTATAACAAACACTGTGTTACAAGATCGCAATTCACTTTCAATGTTACAATCTTTTCTTGAAAAACATGCCCTTGAACAATAGCCTTGAACCATTATAAACTTGTTTTACTGCCCATGAGGTAGAGCCTTGACATAGAAATGAATTAAATAATAAATATTAATTAAATAAAACAAACTTAAGACTACAACATTGGTCTTTGATTTTTTACATTTCAAATAACAAAACTTCAACAAAAGATCAGAAAAAATATGGAATAGCAACTGATTTTAAGACACTCGCGGAGGTAAATAGATCGGTGGTTAAGATCGGTTTCATATGTAAATATCGGCCAATCACCCTAAATTAAGGAAATCGGGGCCGATCGATCGGCCGGCCGATTTATCGGTGCACCCCTAGTAGAATTTGTTACCTTTGCCATGAAACTCCTAAATTTCAGAAAAAGAGCACTAACACTTGAAAACAAACTTAGAGGACTTACCTTAACAGATGGGGCTATGAGGTTTTCTCTCTGGAGGAAAATAAACTATAAAGTGCTAAAAAAAATAAGAACACAGGTTTTGAGTAAGCCTAACTTTGGGCGACCACTGACATGCAGGGCAGAAGCTGTTGTGGTCAGGTGAGACTAAAATTGAACTTTTTGACAGCCAATGAAATCCCTGTGTTTGGGGCAAACCCAACATCCCAAGAACACTAACCCCCACAATGAAGC